AGAAATTTTAACTCTTGCCATAAAGCCTTTCTACTATTAATGTTGCAAGGTGAATACACAGTTACAATGTGAATAGGCACAACATCTTTTCCCTAAAACCCAAAAACAACTATAGTGTTTTCCCCTTCATACACTCTATCTTTTTTAAAGACTCTTGAGTTCCATACACAAATTAAGCCTCCTAAAAGGCCATTTGATGGTTTAAACACCCATTCAAATTCATCATGACTCCATAAAGCCTGGCACAATATTCTATCCGTCATTTCTAATTTGGACTCTTATATTGTAAGAAAATCTACTTTCTCCTTCATCACTAATTCCTTTAAGTCTTTTCTTTTCTCCCTTTTCCCAAACCCTCTAACATTATATGAAAGAATAATCATTGGGTGAGTTCACTGATCTACTTTCCATTGCCTTTGCTAATTGCTTTTACTCCTAATGTAGCCACTCTATCTCTCTTCTCCAATCATTTGATCTGTTGGCATATGTCTGATTCCTCACCTTGGGCAAACACACTAATCTACTTGGCAAATTCCCAAATTTCCTCATCTCTATATTTTCCTCCCCTTGCAAATCTCCTTATTTCGGTTTATAATGCCACTGTTGCCCACGAATTCTCTAGCCACCACTTTATTTGGATTAGGCAAGAAAGTTGGTAGCTTTTCTTTTAATTGTTGTGTAGTTTTACACTTTTCACCCTTGTTCCTATTTTGGAGTATTGCTGAGGCTACTTTGTAGATTGCGACGCAAGATCTGGCTCTCCTCCTTTTGTGATTCTTTGATTTCTTCCTTCTCTCCTGTCTTTCTCTCCAGTTTGCAGCTCTTTCCGAATCACTGGCAATCCTTTCCTAAAAAGAATAATTACCATCTATCTCCAAACCTTTTGACGTGGTTAGGCTTTAATTTGGTCCCTCCATATCATATAAAACTATCTCAGACGTGAATTGATTACACCTCACTAGAAGGTCTTTTTTAGCATTTTGGTTTTCACCACCCATGTTTACAAGAAC